TAATAATAGCTAATTTTTACTTAATTTAATCGAATATAGTTTTTTATATATTAATTTATATAATATTAAAATATTTTACCAAATTATTTATTATTAAAAGGTTTTGGGATTTATTATCTTTAGTAAAAATCTTTGGTTAAAGTTGGTTGGTAATATTATTCTTTTTTAACCGATTAATTTGAAATTATTACGGTTTATTATTAAAATTAACCGTATTTTTTTTGTTACCTTATTATTAACTCGATAATTTAACTTTTTTAGTAAATTATTTTTATATTATTTATTTAATCCGATTAAAAAATGTAGTTTATATATTAATAAGCAATAAATTAATAAAATAAATAATATTTTTTAAAGTTTTATTAACAATATATTTTAAAATAATATTATATAATTATTCCGCTTCCTTCGTTCCCTTATCTTCTTTTTCCTCTTTTCCCCCCTCTCCTCTCCTTTGTCCTTCCCTTTCCTCCTTTCCCCTCCGTTCTTCCTTCTCGGTTTTTTCTTCCGCTTTTCTCTTTTCCCTTCTCCCCTTTCTCTTCCTCCCGGTCTTCTCTCGTCCCTTTCTTTTTTCCTCCCGTTTCCCTTTCCTTTTCCTTCCTTCCCTCTTCCTCCTTCTCTTCCTTTTTTTCTCTCTCTTCTTCTTCTTCTTTCCGCTTTCCTTTTTCTTCTCTTTTTCCTTCCTCTTCCCTTCTCTTGCTCCGCCTGTTCTTCCTCTCTTTTCCTTCTTCCGTCCCGTTTTCTTTTCTGCATCCTTTCTTTTCTCGTTTTGTCCCTTCGACCCCTTTGGTCGGGATATATAGTAATGTTAGATTCAAAAATTCGTTTTTCTCCGATATTTGGATAGTTGGTTATCCTAAAATAATAAGATTTATTATTAACGTATTAGGTATTTTATAAATTCAAAATAGTTTATACTAATTGGTTAAATATTAATTGGTTTTTTTTAAGAATATTATTCTTTTATTTATTAACGATGCAATATTTTATTAAGATTAATTAATAGATTGCATAATTTAAATTTATTTTAGGTTAGTGGTAATTTTTAAAAGAAAGTTTTTTATTTCCGGTTTATTATTAAATAATATGTATAAAACGTTTTTTATATATATTAAATTCTAGTTAATTAGGATAAATACATCTAATAGCTAATAATGTTAATAATATAATAGGTAAAAACGAATATTAATATTAAGGGGTAATAGGTTTAATTAAATTTTAAGTTAAAATATTTTTTTAATGTAATGTTAATCTTAGGCAAAAGTAACGTTATTTTAAAATTAATTAAGTATAATCTTAACGGATTAATCAATATTCTGTTATATTTAAAGTATAAGAGTATTTAATTTGGTAATAAATGATAATAATATCCTCATGTTATATAATTAATGCAAAATATAGGAAATATTTATCTTTATCCATAAACGTTTAATCGGCTATTTAGTTTTTATGGAGTGTTTTCTTTTTGGCAAAAAGTTTATTTTGTAGGTAATAGTTAGATTTGTTTTTATTTACGCTATTTAAAAGTATAATAAAGTAAGTAATAATAAGATTACCGTAATAGTTTTAATAATATACTATTTATTTTAATTTAATAGTTTAATTAATAAATCTTTTAATATAATTATAATATTAATTAGGTAGATTTATAATTATAGGACTTATCCCTTATTTGCATTATATTATTAGCTTTAATAATATAGCCATGGAGCGGCGTTTTGGTTTACGTTTTTTTTATACCAATATTTAATCGTATCTTATTTATTATTTTAAATAAACCTAGTTTAGTAATCTTTTATATTTATTTTATTATAAATTAACGTTATTATCTATCGTTATATTTTTATTTTAATATTATTTAATATATAAATCTATCCTATTAATTATTATTTCGAGCTTTTTAATTTATAAATTGTTTTATGTTTTTTTAAACGCTATTTATATTCCTTCGGCATAATTTAACTATAATTATTTTATATTTAATAAAAGTTTTATTAATTAAGTAATATTGGTAAATAAAAATATTTTTTAAGGTTCCAATAACAGTTTATTATTAATATCCAATAAATTTAGGGTTTTTTATAATTTCCTTATTTTTAATTGTATATTATACTCGGGTATTCGAAATTAGTTTCCTAGTTATAAAGCTATTTTAACTAATTAATATTTAATAATCGGTCTTTTTAAGATTAAGGTTACGGGTTTGAATTTTATAGTGGTTATTATTATAGGAATAGATAACTCTTGGAATAAGGTTATATATTTAACATATTAGGTTTTTATAAAAAATATTTTTAATAATTAAAATAATATTTTATTTTTGATATATAATTAAGTTATCTTAATTAAAAAATAAAATATAAGTTTAAAGAGAAAAAACAACAAATATTTTTAATATGGAAAAAAGTATATATAATAGGTATAAATGACCCATAAAATTAATAAGTATATATAATATTTAACTATTTTACTGTTCGAAATAAAGGGATTAATATCGATAATTATAATCAGGAAAATGTAATAATTTAAAGATCTTATATGGTTTTTAAAGTTAAGATTATATAATAAACCTTTATATATAATATCATTGCAATATACTTATTCAATACATATATTTTAAAGTTTTTAACGTACGATAAAATATTAATTATAAATTAATATAAATTATAATATTAAATTTAAAAAGAATAGAAGGAAAAAAAGGAGAGAAAATGTTAGATATAAGATAATTAAAAAATAAAGGTATATAAAAAAGAAAATAAATAGAGATTTTATATTTAATATTTTAATATTTTATTTTTTAATATAATAAACTTTAAATAATAAAATATTATAAAATTAAAAAAAAAAAGTTATTTTAATTAAATAAATAAAGTTAAAAATATGGTTAAAAAAACGTAATTTATTAAAAATAATAGAAGTATTAATAGTAAAAAAAGTTTAAAAATTTTTTTTTTTATTATAATATTTAATTGTAAATTAATATTATTTAACGTTATTTTAATATTATTTTAAATAAGTATTTATACATTAAAAATAAACTTATAAAATATTTATGGTTTATTTATGATACGATTTTATCGATTTAAGTTATATTTTTTTATATTAGTTACGTTATATAATCCTAGCTGTAACGTCATATAACCTATGTTTTGTAACGTGCATGTCCAATAAGTTAAAATTATTACAAAGGGCGTACTATAGTTCGATCATTGATCCTTGGTTTTTCATCCCATTTACATAAACAAACGGTTTGGATTTCCCTTACATTAATCATAATAACGTTAGAATTTATTTTTGGAACTTATCTCTTAATAAATCAACTATATGCACCTGTTTATATAATAAACATATCTCATTTATCTTAATATGCTAAAACTAAAATTCGAGGAGCGGGCTTCGCCTTCCGCCTCCCCCCCTTATTAACGCCATAGACGCCACAAAACCCTTAGTCCGTATATTTGTATTTATGGGTTGTGGGGGAGGCGTTCCTCGAACTCTAATCTTAGAGACGTTTGGGGTTTTTAACCGCACCTGATACACATTTAAAAACTTTTAATAAAACTATATTGACAACAACATAATAAACAATAACAACGTTTAAAATACCCTCTATTTTAATCACTCGAAACTAATCCTTTACTTTAACTACCTTCCTATATTTTTTACATATTTATACAATATTGCATTATAATATTGTAAGCCTCGACGTTTAAATAGTCTTAACGCTATATCCACGCACCTGCACCCACGCGTTTATACCCACAACCACCCATAACCACGTTTAAAATACCTTCTATTTTTTAATCCGAAACTATCTATTCAATTGCCCAGACATTTTAACCTTTTTTATATGCTTATACGACATCGCGTTATAATATCGTAAGCCTCAACGTCTAAATAGCTTCAAAACGTTATATTCACGCGCCTGCACCCACGCGCCTATACCCATGCGCCTATACCCACGCGTTTACACCCATAACTATCCACAACCACGTCTAAAATACCTTATATTCTAATCATTCGAGGCTAATCCTTTGCTTTCGCTACCTTCCCGTCTTTTTTACATACTTATACGACATCGCGTTATAATGTTATAAGCTTTAACGTTTATTACAGCTATCGCATTGGTTGCAACCGATACTATAGCTAATCTCGACTTAAAACGCGTACGTTTTATATAATAACCTATTTAAATGATCGAATTAATACTTATTTCTTATATAAAGACTTTATTTACTTAAAATTAATATTTTCAATTGATTTAATTATTATTATACCAATTAAGGGAAAAATGTCCAAAATCGCCTTAAACTAAAGATTGAAAAATGTTTTCGGAAAGGTATACCGGAGTGTAATTGATTAGAAAAAGGTGTGGCTAAAGGAAGTACTTCCCCCCGAACCATTTTTCCAATTTCTAATTTAAGCTAGCTGAGATAATATCTCATATTATTAGTAATTATCCAGAAGCTTATAGATCGTCAACGCATCGTCATTACAAAAAGCTTATGCGGTATCAATACCAAGGTAGATAAATTACAAGTCAAATTATCCATGTTAATGGCGACACAATGTATAGCGTTGATCTGACCTGTTTGTGTGATAACTTCTAACAGACTACCGACTGACTGATGGTTAATAACCCATGTCCTCTTAAATACATATGTATGTCCTCCTATGTCTCTAATGTCTTCATACTGTGTAATTATAACCCCGCTACTGCATCTTCTACAGTCCCAATAGGGTTTATCTACTGTAAAATACATCTATCGGAAGGAGGGGCAAACCCGCAACCCCTCCAATTTCGTTCCAATTTTAAAATGGAGATCGCTGTTGACCGCCGCATCCCCAAAAGTCGCGACTCTATCGCATATCTATCGCACATCTTCTTCTCCTCCCCCCCTCTATAAACAGGTGCCCCTCTATAAGCCTCGATTTGTATTGTGGTTCGTATCCTCTATCCTTTTCATCCCATCAATTGGTCTGTTCAACTTTTAAAGATGGCTGTAGGAACTGTTCTGATTACCGGGTAAGTCAAGTTTATTTTGAACCTATTCGTATACCTCTTCGCTCTTTTCGCGCCGCTCCTTTATAATTATTACATCCTAGAACAAAGACAAGTCGTCAATTAAGTTATATGTTTATGCTAATAAACATGCGCAAATAGTGGTACCGGCTACATTGGATCTTTCACCACGCTTGCCTTGCTTGAGCATGGTTATGAAGTCATCATTGTAGACAACCTATACAATTCGTCCGAGGTTGCTCTCGACCGCATCGAGCTCATTTCCGGCAAGAGGCCAACTTTCTACAAAGTTGACCTAACAGAGCAAGATGAGCTCGACAAAGTCTTTGCTGCTCATCCCCAAATCGACAGCGTTATTCACTTTGCCGCGCTCAAGGCAAGCTCGCCAACTCTCCATCGCCTATGCCATGTCGCTGACTTACGAACCAGGCTGTCGGCGAATCTGCCGAGATCCCTCTCGAGTATTACCGCGTAAACGTTGGTGGTACTATCTCCCTCTTGGGTTCCATGAAGAAGCATGATGTTACCAACATAGTGTTTTCCTCCTCAGCAACGGTCTACGGTGACGCGACTCGTTTCGAGAACATGATTCCCATTCCTGAGCACTGCCCTATTGGGCCTACAAACACTTACGGAAGAACCAAGGCTATTGTCGAAAACATAATCGAGGATTTTATCGGTGCGCAGCGCCAGAACTTGAAGAAGGCCGACAAGCCGTTTGAGCAATGGAATGGCGCTAACCTGCGGTACTTCAACCCGTGTGGTGCACACCCTACCGGTATTATGGGTGAGGATCCTCAAGGCGTACCATATAACCTATTGCCGTTGCTGGGCAAAGTTGCGACTGGTGATCGGCCGAAAATTCTAGTCTTCGGAGATGGTAAGCCAGGCTTGGTCCCAAAAATTTGATGATATGGAAGACACTAATAAAAATATTGCGTAGACTATTCATCCCGAGATGGAACTGCCATCCGCGACTACATCCACGTCGTCGATCTTGCAAAGGGTCATTTAGTTGCGTTAAACTATCTTCGTGAACACAAGCCCGGCGTCAAGGCATGGAACCTAGGTTCTGGCAGAGGTAGCACCGTTTTCGAGATCATCAAGGCATTCAGCAAGGTTGTCGGCCGCGACCTGCCATATGAGGTAGTACCACGAAGACAAGGCGATGTGCTAGATCTCACTGCCAACCCGACGCGGCGAACCAGGAATTGCAGTGGAAGACAGAGCTCACCATGGAGAAGGCATGCGAGGATCTATGGAGATGGGTGTCGAACAACCCGAAGGGATACCGACAGGAGCCTCCAGCCGAACTACTAGCCGGCGTCAAGGGTAAGGCCTCTTGATACGTGAGTAGATAACTACTCCAAGTCGCATTATTGGTGAGAGTTGATTAGCAACTTAATTTGACTGGGCAATGCAATTTGATCCTTGCGCGTTTACCTATAGAATAGACGAGAGCTCCACCTTGATACCGAAACGCGAACCGCCTCCCGTCGACAGGTTAGGTGAATAATGTTAAAGAGTCGAGATAGTGATAGAAGTAAATCTACGTTAGTATTCAGATGAAGATTTTATGAGCGTTGCGCTCGAGCTGAGCCACTAGATGATGATAACATCAAGTTGTCATCGAACATGAATTGTGCACTCCTTTCCATCCAATCAAGGGTAACCCAGCTGTTTTCCGATTTGTCATACATGGTGAATTGTGCCTCGTCGTCTACGATATCCCTGCAGTTTCGTTTATCCAAGACTTCCAACTACAACCCAAGATATTCTGGTTACGTACCTCAACCCGATAGATAGAGTATGCATAGCCACTCTACGCTTTAAGCTACCCGTCTACCAAGACGCTTGTCTAGAAAGACGGTGTCGAATCAGCTGTTAAACCAACGTACTTGTGGTACTCGCTACCACCATGAGAAGGGTGATCAGTTGGGCAACATGAGTATAGTACGCAGCAAACTGCAGATGGTTACCACACGTAGTTACTAATAATTACTTATATTACTGCCTGGACGCGACGGCATCCCACATACTGCAGGTCGGCAGGCCGGTAAGCGAATCAGAGACCGAGGGATGCGTGGCAGTTCACAGCAGCACGAAGTTAGACGAGGTTAAACAAGGTTACTATTAGACGAGGTTAGATGGAGAAATGACGGAAATGTTTTCACAGCCACCATCTGTGGTATCTAAATCTCTACCTAAATCTCTACTTAAATCTCTACTTAATATAATGTACCTATAAGAACCTTGCCTGTAGCTTAGGCTCCACATGTTTCCCGCTCGTAGATCCACCCAAAACTCCCAAAACTCCCAAGACTCTCAAGACCCCTGGATGTGGCTTAAGCTCTTTTCTCTCCTGGACCCTGGCGTGTCTCATAACTTTCGAGGCGTAATGAAACATCTCATGTCTTTTCTTCTCTTTTACTCGTTACTCGTATCTTTTTATTCTTATTCAACATCACATTCGTTCTTATTATCACTCGTTTACCTCGTTCTTGGTAAACAGGAAATAATCAATTATCTGCATTGATTGAAGCATAGCGTTTTATTTTCGTTACTTACCTGGTAATTTTATTATCCGTCAGATCGTTGGCCACAATTTATCAACTGCCTTCATCCTTTTCCTTTAGTCCAAAATATAGCTACCAAAAGGCTATGAGATAGATATCTTCTAAATACCTACCTAAGATATCTTCTAAATTTACTGGGGTACATTTGCATTTATGACCAAGCTCGTAGCTTAATTCAACATTGACATCATCTGGGAGTAGTATTCTCCTATGTCTCCCTAAAAGAAGATTTTACTCGCTTAATGCTACGCGCCTGGTCTCATCTATAGCATGGAGCGCACATATATTCAGGAAAATAAGCAAGCGCGACTTCAAGCACTGGGCGAAGAATGGGGTATAACTAGTCAACCTCCTCCGTCACCCTTGCCGAGGCCTGATCAGCCGCCATCCTACCGGACAGATAACGATGAGTTTATAGCAGAAGAGTTACTTAAGAGACAGCGCATTAGCGAATCTCAAGGTCACCAGCCGAAGGGGAGTATCTCGCGTGCCTTCACAACAAAAAAGAAGACATGGGAATACCGAGAAATTTATAGCACCCTCGTGGCTCATATTACGAACCAAGGATCACCAGGCGTTGCCGAATGCCTAATACTCAAGTTAAATCTAGCTGGAGGGAACCTCAACTTGGCGCAGAAGAGTCGAACTAGTTTATTAAGCAGAAGAAAGAGTCTCGATCTAGCCGAACGCAGCCAAGTGCTCCAAATAGCCGTCAAGAATGGCCATTATGAAATGATCGAGGTTCTTTTGCCCTACGCTGATGCTTTAAGCTTAGATACCGCATTGCCAACTGCGATTCGTGGTGGAAACGCGGCGATTGTCGCACTTCTCATAAGATATGGCGCGAGTGTAGCTCAGACTGCCGACGGACAAGATGCATTTCGACAGGTATGCGCCATTGGTGGCCAGCCCGATCTAGTCGCGCTTATTCTGGGATCCGACGGACGGCCGTCATTGTCGTGGATGTCACAATCCATGGTTGAGGCAGCGAGGGTTGGGTGTCTGGGTACAGTAATGCACCTCGGCCAGTCAACAGCAGACGGTAATCACGATGGTGCCGCCGCGTTGAAAGCTGCCGTAGCTCTCGGCCGGAGAGATATTCCTCGCTATTGTTCTCGGTAATAAACCACCAGCCCAACCCGGTCTTAACGAGGCGTTTGACCAGCTCATGAGTCACCAAAACATCAATCCCAACGAAAAGATGGCCATGGCGGAGATTTTGTTGTGCGCCGGGGCGGAAGGTGATCTGGTATCGAAAGCCCTGGTACAATCGTGCGCCACTTACTTTCTCGAAATGGTGCATCTCTTGGTCTCTTATGGTGCATCAATCGAATATCAGGATGCGATCGCTGTTCGCAAAGCTGTCTCAAAGGGAAAAGTCGACTTGGTAGAGGTTATGTTAAGTGGGAAATCTAGATTCAGCTCTCATTATGCGTCAGAGTGCGTAGAGCTTTTGCCAAAAAAGTTGAGATTTGAAGAACGTCACTCTCTCCTTAATCTACTACTTCGTAAAGGTGCATCCGGGGCGCCCTTGGATGAGGCGCTAATCGACGCAGTAGAAGCCGGCGACGTCGAGGCGGTTAAAATACTTCTCACGCCGCTGTTTCCCGAAGGTAAAATCGTCGGGGCTAAAGATATTCGGAAAGGTCCGCGAAGCATGGTATTTGAGAGACATGAGATTGCGTCGACAGATCATAAAGGTGCCCTAGCGTTGCAGATCGCTGTGAAGAAAGGGGACGTAGCTATTGCGAACTTGATTCTTTCGAATAAGCCGCCTAATCCTGTTGCTCTCGCTCAGATCTTCCCTAGCGTGCGGAATCTACGCCCCCTTGAGCGGTATCAGACCTCGGAGTTATTTCTAAGAGCTGGACTTACTGGACCGTCGGTTCATTCGGCCCTCGAGAACGCCATAGACGAGCAACCACCGCACCGAGATGAGAAGCTCATCGCCCTTTTCCTTCGTTATAATGCAGATGTAAATTTTAACGAAGGTCACACTATTACGGCAGCTATTTCACAGAAGGATGTCCGACTCTTAGAACGATTGCTCAAAAGCAAGCCCACAATCCAGGTAGCAGCCAAGGCGATTCCTAGGGCTATGGAAGTCGATGAAGGCTCGATACGGTTTCAAATGATCAACATGCTCTTAGCAGCCGGTGCATCACAGGGGGGACCTGAAGTATCGGCAGCTGTCGAGGCAGCGATACAGATTGATCTGCCAGATAAACGACTGCTTAAAACATTACTGCAGCAAGGGAATGCGGATGTTAATGTTAATGAGGGGATAGCTGTAGAGCGTGCCGCGCTACATTCCGATCCGGAAATTCTAGGAATGATTCTATGTTTAGGGCAGCCCAATGCTAGTAGCCTAGAACGGGGTCTAAAGAGTATAGGAAATCTTCCAATGTCCACAGGTAAAACCGAAAAGCTAGATGTGATATTACGCCGAACGCAGTCGAAGGATACGGCCACCAAGCTGCTCTTACAAGAGGTGTTAGCTGTTTTAAAAGTACCTTCGCACGACCAAAATTTCTCTTCAATAAAAGTCCTACTAGCAAACGGTGCCGATATCAATGCTATGAATGCCGAGGCGTTGTGTCGAGCGGTGGCCGCGGCAAACATGCAACTGGTAGAGCTTTTATTCACAGCCACTCCAACCCCTACTTCGATGGCATTTGCTATGCCTCACGCCCTGCGCATTCGTGAATTGATGGATAGACTAACGTTCGCGCAAAAAATCCTAGAAGGCGGTATACCGGCAACTGAAGTGAATAGAGCTCTCGTCTTTGCCGTCAGTACTTATCCAGACGACATACCGCTCATCAATACTCTCTTAGCCCGTGCAGATACTCGAGACGGCCTGGCTTTGATCGAAGCTGTCAAGGGAGAAAAGTAGGACGTCGTAGAGCTGATTCTAGGCAAGAAGACTTTCCCCGTTGAGATTCTCAACACAAGTTTTGCCCAGGCAACGAGAGGCAAAAACAAAAGATCGAGAAGCATGTCGTCTATCAGTTTACTAAAAGCTGGCGCATCGGGAGAAGTAGTATCGGATGCGCTATTAGCAGCCGCTTCCGATGGCGACGTAGAGTTCGGTACCATTTTAGTACAGAATGGGGGCAGCGTAGAACATAAGGACGGCCAGGCCATCATAGAAGCTTGCAAGGCAGGGGCAGTCGACGTCCTCGCAATGCTGCTAGCAGGCGAATCAAGAGTCGCCCAAAAAACGTTGCAGAGAGGATTTCAAGCCGCTACGCAAGTAGGAGACTTGAAGAAGCGAGCAGAGATATTCAAACTGCTCTTGCAAGTGGGAGTCTCTGGAGAAGTAGTCGACGCTCAACTCGTATCAGCTGGGAGGTATGGAGACGACGGGAAAGATCTCGTCCGACTTCTGCTAGTGTACGGGGCGAGTCCTGATTACAATGATGGAGAGGCTGTCGAAAAAGCAGCGAGGAGCGCCTTTTTGGGTAGCTTGGAGATGCTATTAGGCATTGTTGAGGTCGGTGGGCGTCAGAAACGACCATCTTCTCACACTTTGGTCCGCGCGATGGATGCTTGCTGGGACCTAAGCAGAGACACGAGATTTGCCATTATGAATTGGGTTTTCCAAGCAGGAAGGCCGGTTCCCAGCGCTCTTCATTCTTCTCTGAACCGTGCTGTCAATGAGGAAGATCCTGACGAGAGACTTATCGAGCTTCTTGTAAACCACCGTGCCTCTGCTACCGCAGATGGTTGCCAGACTTTAATTGACGCGACTACAACGCTATCTCCATCAGCATTTTCCAAGCTCTTAGATACTCAAATCACTGTCGAGGACACCTCCTTAGTGTTCAGTAGGGCATTTGCGCCCGATCGTGTTTCGTCGTGGTTATCTGGTCGGGGCTACGAGGTTGCCAAATGCCTACTAGAGAAAGGTGCTATCGGCGATGGAGTTGGATCAGCATTTGCCACAGTACTTGGGTTATACATCGAAACACATGCGCAGTTAGCAAACGACTTTGTGGATTTGCTCCTCAAACACGGCGCCGACGTCAACTACAACCACGGAGAGGCGTTGCAGAATGCAGCTGCGCAAGGAGATCCCAATCTTCTTAAAAGACTCCTACGCGAGAATCCCAACCCCCAAGCGCTAACGTTTGCGTTACCTCGCGTATTCGACGCTTCCGCATCTGAAGATGACATATATGATCTTATCACACTATTCGTCGAATACGGTGATGGACAAAACCGGATGGATGTCGCGTTCATCCAAACTGGTTCGGAGCCTATACTCGTCAAAGCTCTAAACCAGTTCCCACGATCTACGAAGATTCTCGGGGCATTACTAGATGCCGGGTTCTATCATGACCAACTGACAACGTGCAGAGTAATGCAGGAGATAGAGGAAGAAGAGACTGTTACTCTGCTCATGTGGGCCCTTATTCAACCTCAGAAGAAAATCAGTAGCGGAGTTATCAATTTACTGATCGAGAGGGGTGCTAAAGTTAATTTTGAAGCTCCCATCTCTCGTGTTACTCCTCTTATGCTAGCCATACAATACCGTCGGCAAGATATTGTGAAGTCTCTACTGCTGGCGGATGCTGAAGTTGACGTGACAGATGCGACAGGGAAATCCCCCTTGTCTATGGCATCTTCTATCGGCGGTGACTTGGCTATCACCATAATGTCTAATTTGCTAGCGGCAGGTGCTTCGAGAAATGATGGCTCACTTCACAATGCAGCACGAGAGCTTAACCTGCAAGCCATGCAAGTATTGGTCGAATATAGACATGACCCTGACTTTCCCAGCCCTCTGCATGGTGGACGGAGTGCACTTGGAGAGCTATGCCTACACGCCGCTGACTTCAGCGAGATGACGCCTCGCCGAGAAAAAGCGATGGAAAAGGCGATAAATTTCCTCCTCCAGAGCGAATCCGATATCACGCTACAATCTGATGGGAAATCCGTCCTCCTTTTAGCTCTCGAATCAACTGACCCCTTGACCACAACGAAAATCCTGCTACGGGCCGACATGTGGAGATACATTAATAAACCATTCAACTACTTTAATGATGGCAAATTCACCTACTCTCACCCTATGTATGTTCAGCGCGTGTTACCAGATTCGGATCACAAGTCACAGCTCTTAGCACTGCTAAAAGCAAACCGGGGGACTGATGTATACTATTCCAACTCCGGTCCGCAGCCTGACGATGCTATCGGCATGCCGACTAATATCCAACTCGAAGAACAGGAACGTAAGGCGCGATTAGTCCGTCTTCAAAAGGAAAACGAGGATCACACGCTCGCGATTCAGCGGAATAAAGAGTTAGCGGCAGTGCAAGCGCAAATCTGGGCTAACCAAGCAGAGCTAGAAGAGGTGCGCAAAAAACGGGCGCACAGCGCAGACCTATCAGCTATACAGGACCGCGCGCGCGTCGAAGAAGAACTATTCAACAGCACAATGCGACAGCAACGCGCACGCCACGTAGCCGAGGTCAAGCATCAAGAGGCACTGACACACGCCGGGTTAACACGGGCGCAGGCTCTCGCCGACGCGGAGCTTGCCGTTGAAGCACAGAAGCAAAGCCGTATGCTCCAGTGGGAGCGTGACGTGGGCAGCGAACGCGTTGGCAACGCAAACCAGCTAAGCAGCATAAGACTCCGGGAGAGGGAGGAATTAGAGCGCCTAGACCAGGTAGCAGATGCAAGACTCAAGAATAGAATACAGGAGCAACGGAAATTAGTTGATAGCCAGAGTACATTAGCTGCGAATATAGCAGGCGCAGGACCCAGAGCGCAGAGGCAGATTGGGTATGTGAGTGGTGAGTTAGATTAATAGGGACATAACCTAATATAGGTATATCCATGGACTGGCTTAGATACCTTTGAGGAGGTTGTAGCAAATCATGCAGTTTTTGGCATCGACGGCGTAAGGATTATTCGATTAGAAATTAGAAACCCGAGTTTTTATATACTTGGAATATTAATAGTAGCTGAAGATAATGGATAATGCTACGGATGAAGTTTATGAAGTTTATAAGTTCCCAAGATGTTGGGAATTCCATCCCGTTAAGCCTTAAGCCTCGGACTTCCGACTAAGACCGAGTAGAATCCGACGCCATTAACTTTATAACCTAACCGGGTAGCATCTTATAAAGCCGTTACACACTCGGAGTATCAATATGCGAGTTGTGTGACTCCGAAATCTCGCAAACGAGTCTAGGTTAGATATGTTGATATTATTTCCTTTCTCCCATTTACAAGTTTCCCACCTTCGTTTCGCAAAATACTTACCTTAACATATTTTTCTTTTCTTCCTTAACTATTCGATCTCTACTTAGCTTCCTAGACTACATTTGCATTCGGATGGGGAAAAAAAGGTTGATCATTTAGTATACCCGTGCAAATAAAATAACCACCCCCAGAACATATCCTTTAGACGCCTTCCCTTAACTTAAAATTCACCCGCCGCAATTAAGCTACCATGCCACTTTCTACATCCGTGCTGCTCCGCGGCATATTCCGGCAGCGCCTAGAGCACCTGCGCGTCGGACGTCTACCACGCTCAACGCCCCGGCGCTTCCAGTCCAGCACTCCCGGTCCGAAGCCCGGCAACGGAGGCGAGGCCGCGAAACAAAAACCGCCAACCGGGGATCCGATCCCGGTGGGTAGCACACCAGTTCCTCCCGTACCCCTGTGGCAGAGACTCGGCCCCCTGACACGCGCCGGCGAAGCTTACGGTCGTGCTCAGCGGAAAAGACCCTGGGCTACGCAGATCGTCTCCGCGCTTGTTATTTATCTGGCTGCCGATGTTAGTGCGCAGCGTATAGGTGGCAAGGACTACGTGCCGGAACGTAGTGCTAGGAATATGGCTATTGGCGGCGTAGCTGCTGTGCCGACCTTTCTGTGGTGAGTCGTATTCATTTTTCTTATCCTCCCCTTTCGGTTGGTCGTGGATCTAGATCGTTATTACCCTATGTCTCGAGGTATATATTGAACAGTGGGCAATACATGTGCATCATCGGTGCCTTCCTGGGTACCTAATACGTGATATAACGAAGCCAAACATCAGAACTAACGCAGTTGTCTAGGTTCGTCTGGCTTTCCCGCCACTTCAACTACCCATCCCACATCCTCTCGCTCGGCGTCAAGATCGTCGTCAACCAGCTCGTCTTCACGCCCACCTTCAACAGCTACTTCTTCGGCGCCCAGGCGCTGCTATCCGGGGACTCTATCGCCGAGACCTGGGATCGGATCCGCCGCACCGTCCCTGTCAGCTGGGTCAACGCCTGGAAGCTGTGGCCTGCCGTTACCGCCTTCACCTTCACGTTCGTCCCCGTCGAGTACCGCAGCGTCGTTTCGGGCGTCGTTGCCGTCGGCTGGCAGACTTACCTGAGCTACTTGAACCGCCAGGCGGAGATCGAGGAGGAATTGGCTCATGCAAGGATGGTGGCTGCTTTGCCGGCTGTTGAGGCGACGTCTGCGTCCTTGCAGCTTGATGCCCGGAAACCCCGGATTACTGCGTGAATTCAAGCTTCGTTTCTTTGTGGATTTCCTATGGAATTACGGGGTTAGGGGGGAGATAGACTAGACTTGTGGTTGGCGTTGGAGCGTGCACGGCCTAATATTAACAAAATAGTTGGTAGTAAGTGCGGGGGTGAATTGGCATTCATGTTAATCGGTTAATAGAAGCTTCCTTGATATTGGCATATCTTCTTTTCGTTACTAGATTTGCTGTTAGAGGGTGTTATGATAGTCTGGTGGTCTGGTAGGGCTAGGATTATCAAGGTCGGTTATAAAATGTCTATATTAAAAACTAAGAGAGGAGGGCAGGAGGAGGGGGGGCTACTACGAATTATTTGATCAAGCTAGTATCTCGAACTCACGTTGTAGATTTACTATAATTAGGTACCTTATAGATGTGCATAATATATCTCTCTTTAGGTCATAAGTATCTTCTAAGAAACATTGGCAGGAGCTAGAATTTCTGGCGTATCTTCAATTCTAATATGTAAAACTAACATTAACCATCCATGATATAATAAGTATAATTCTTCGTCCAGATAATTCAAACGACAAGTGTTTCTAATGTTTAATTTAATATTGATCAAGGATATCTCTTCTAAATGTTCTTATATACTAAAATGAATTTAATTATTTATAATTTTTAAATTTTTTTATATTCATACCAACCTAACGGCGGCGCCTTTCTTGTGGCCGTTGGCGGTGGTGCAGCGGTTTTCCCTGTTCCCGGGCTTTCTCGTCGTTTCCCTGACGCCTGGATAATGCAGTGTCTGATTCGTTATCGTGATCTTCTCCATTTTCCTTGATATTATTATTATTAGCATTCTCATCCTTATCTTCCGGTCCTCGCTGTCTCGTCCCTAACATCCTGCGCTGTTTTAGCTCGAGCGGCGTTTCCTTCAGCCCGAACTTTGTCATGGCCCAGGACCACCAGCCTCTCTCGGGCGGTATCCATTGTCCGATATCCATGGTATAGTGTTTTTGGTCCTCTGGTAAGTTAAACCAGACTAGCTCCCTGGTGTTATGAATGCGCCCTTCTATGACAAAGTCTCCGATGTCACTGGGGATTTCGAGCGCCTCTGCGATAAGTATAGGTTGGTAGGCTGGGATGAGGAGATGCAGGCGCACCGGCCGGGGCGGTTTCCCGTGTTTTTGAGAACGCGCATTCTTCTTTTCTATATACCTCCGTGTGGCGAGCATAAAGACAAAGACCGTGTCGATCTGGTTCGTGTAGCCGCAGAACCGGGGATCAAGCGGACTGGATTCAATAAGATGGAAGAACTTGGGGTACCAATCATTGTCTGGGTGGAAGACATAGAACCAGTGTTCGACCTCGGGATCCTGAGAGGTCTGGGCCAATCGCTCACGGATCATGTAATAAACCAATTCGGGAAACTCTCTCTGAGCCATGAGGGCAGTTTGCGCTGCAAGGGTATCTGAGATGTCCTTGAGCCTAGTGGCGATGAGGTTGAGCGCCTGGACTCCCTGGTAGGTCAAGATCATATTAGACCCGATACCAACAGTAGTTGCGATAGTGCTGAAATAGCCAAAGAGCTTCAGACTGTCGCAAACTGACCGGCCCATCACCTGAATCGAAGGGACGAACTGATGTGCGGCTCCGACCAATTCTGTGGCCTTAGGGACTAATTCATTTATATGGCCGGCTGTCTCATGTGCCTTCTTAATCGTATTCCCTAATTGCATAATGCTGTACCCTGCTTGTATAGTCTTTACAACCGGATTAGCCTTGACTGCTGCCCCGGCGGCCGCTCCGAGAGTTCTTGTAATAGTCTCGCGGATGACCCTTTTCTTCGTCTTGTTTCCGGGAATCCATGATGTGAGATCGGATGGCATAATGATATAATAATATGATATTGTTGTTGTTCTAAATGATAGTGACCAAAAAGGGTAACTTGTAGCAAGGGCCACAGAGTGGGGGGCGGAGGCGGAGGCGGGAGTGCTTTTAACTAGAACTTGAGAGAGCTAAAGTACGAGAATGGTAAGGCATCTATGAAACGTATATTATTCTGCTTAGTCCTCCTCTATTGACGTGGCAGTTTAGCTGGCCATTAAACCCTGGATCTCATTTGAAACTACCATTTTAGACGGTGTTAATCCTGCAAATGTTGATTGGGCTGATAGGCAGCTTGCGGTGAGAGGTTAGTTTTGGAAGGCTTGAAAACCAATGAAATCCATGGATATTGGTTAAGGGGTAAAGGAATAGTTCCCGCTTGGTGGAGTTCGGATATACGTATATCCGTATTCTTTGGATAGATACCTCAAGTAGAACGTGAGGGTTGACATCATTACCTGTTATTGATACCTGTTAGTTATACGGTTCTTGAAACTTAAGTCTTCATATCAACATTATACAGATACCTAACCTAAGGTAATACAAATCTACTTTGTATCTTGATGCTTATTGGTACAACAACGCAGAGAGAGGTGTGTGATCGACAGATCGTGCACGGATATTAAAAAGAACAAAAGAGCACATGTCAATTATGTTCACATGATCTTAGTATTGCAACATTCTTAACCTAGATTGCTGAAAATGTATCGGCTTCGGTCTATTTTCACTTAATATATCAAGCTGTTAAATAGATATTTCTAAAATTAACTATATTTGGATATCTAACTTAGAACCTAGATAGGTAGGTACCTTATATGGGTAACTTAAACACACTGTTTCTGGGGCATCAGTACTTGATATGACGGACGTCGAAGAGAATACACTTACCTGAGAGTAGTATTCGTTCTGATACTGGCAAGTATACGGTGCCGCGCACTGGAAGCTTCCGGTCCACTGTAGTCCGCCGCATTGAGCAAACTTCGATTGTGCCTTAGGTGATGCCAAGGCGAGTATCTTTTCTGAGGCGTGTTCGGCAACAATGACGATGTAAGAGGTGGGGTTGGTAGTTATATGACCTGGAAAGATGCTAGCATCGACGACGAACAAGTTGTCGGTACCATAAACCCTCGTATTGAGGTCAACTACAGCCGAGCCACTGTTTGTTCGACCGTCGTCTGTTCCGAGCTTGCTGGTTCCTAGGAATTATTAGTCGTTATATCGCGTGCTAATACGATGCTAGCCAACTTACCAATCCAGTGGTTTGATCTTCGGTTGGTGTATGAAACGAGCATCTATAATTATCAGCTTTGTTTTCTTATCGCGTGATATATAGCGCGACTAACATCATTGACAAAGTCTTCGACAGTGGTGTTCGATGGTGGGTAGGTCCACGTGAGGCCCTCGACATTTGCTAGAGCCGCCTGAAGGTTCTTGATACCCTGAATAACAGCCTGGACATCGTTCTTATCCTGTAAGTAAGGGAGCGTCGAGACTACAGTGGTTAACGCCTTCGTAATAGTCATTCGGCCCCTTGACTTTGCACCTCGTCCAAGGTACTGACTCATAGTCATGGCATCTACTCCTATTAACGAGTGCGAACCTCAGGGTATGGGGATAACCTACATCCATTCGGCGTTCCAGCACTCCCTTCGACCCTGGCGGTCCACTGGAGCTGTCGAACCACACCATCGTCACCCTTGATTTCATCCCAGAACCTACACAGGGTTAGAATATTGGTGGACTTAAGATTTAGCTACTTACATTGGGCCAATATTTGGCGCTGCTTGAGCTAGAATACCCGATCGAGAATCTGTGATTAGAGGTTAGCTGCGGCCTTATCATATGATACAAGAACTAAACATAGCTAACCTAGATATAGACTCTTGTCGGCGACATTAGGGTTGTCCCAAGCTTCGTAGAAGTCGTAAAACACGACGTTGGGATGCGTGATAACAGTATCAGTCTAAGTAAATGTAAGCATATTTAGAGGTACGACCGTTTGGAGGGTATCAAACATTTGTGTGGTCTTCCAGATTATAACCGACAGGCAGATTGATCCAAGAGCTATTAGAAATCATGGTTGGACCATCGATCGACGATTGGACAACAGATAGCTGATCCGACGGCCCAATCCCACCTTCTCCAGTTAGTATATAGAGCATAGGAGGGCTTCTGAGATTGAAGTAACTTACTTCGTAAACAGGATCTTGGCGGACCCAAATGTTCCCGCAGACAAGATGACGCGGCCGGTAACTGAAGTAACATTGACAACACCGGTGTATCCTCCGTTTATGAACGGCTCGACTTCAATGCCGGTAACATGGCCACCAGATCTAACAACTCTCTTTACTGCCGTGCCCATCCATAAATGGAAATTCTTGCGCTTGCTGGCAGAGACCAAGTAAGTTGCCATAGGCCCGCCACGTTCGCCACCAGAAAACATGAACGGTGAATGAGAGAATGTGTGATTCTTCTTGTTTGGCGCGTCGTTAGCAGTAACTTCTGACCATCCACCGGCTTTTAAACCGCTAGATAGAACTTCAAAGCCTTGCTGATAGTATCTCTTTCCATCCATCGAAGGATGGTCAGTACCAGGAATGCGAGAGAATACCCTCTTTGTGCAGCAGCCATATCCGACGATTTCCATTCTTTAGGAAAGTTATAATCCCAGTCTAAAGTATACGGCTAAGTTTCACCATCAGTATCGCCGTATTTGTGAATGCATCATATGACATACCTTCCACCATAAACCAGCATTAACAGCGGTGCCTCCACCCAGCACACAGCCAGCCATCTGATCTGTATCAGTACAGGCAATGCCTGCGGAGTTGACCCATATCTCGTTGCACAGACCGGGGACATCAAATCGAGTCAAGTTAGTGCCATCTAACCATTCCGGCTTGAGCGAGCCGCCCCATCGTCCTGAAGAAGGTGGTCCCTTTTCAATAAGCAATACACTCTTTCCAGCCTCGCTCAACTTATCTGCCAAAGGAATCCCACCAGCACCGGCACCAACAACAATGTAGTCATAAGTGCCGGTCGGGACCGGGATGCCAGTAGCAGTAGGAATTGACGTAGTAGTGGATGTGGTGGTCGTGGGTGTTGCTCCTCCGCAGCTTCCGGTAACTGTAGCGGTAGCTTGGGCAGCCCATTCTGAATACGATGGGTTTGCTGCGTTTTCGTCTAGAGTGGCGCCCCAGATGCTTTGACCGTTGCTGTGGAAGTTAATAGTAATATCCGCTGGGCAGGCCGGGTTCCCCGGAGATTTAAGTGAGCTAGCCCATCCTAGTATTAAGGAGCCGGCACTAGTCGACGCGGAACCTGATGCACCGTCTTGGTCCCATACTAAACAGTTTTGACATCTGAAGATTAGAGTATAGTGGTCCTTATCGATGGTAGACGAGATTTGAGTTAACTTGGCATTGCCTGTATATACGTCCGGGCTAGTATATCCACTGACGAAGCGGAGCGAAGTTAAGATTTCATCTTCGTATGGCCAAGCCATGAGAAGCAGGCTATTTGTCATCGGTCCCCCGAAAGACAAACCGCACCATCCGTTCGTGGTTGTGCCGTTGGAGCCGCATTTCTATTATAGGGATTAGTGTTCTGATAGATTAGATTTAAACTTGTTATACTGACTAGGTATCCTATGAACTCAGTAGCATCAACAGTCAAGGCATTCTCTGGTAGTGCAACACCAAAGGTGAGACCACCCCAGGCCGATACACCACCAGAACCGTCGGCCTTATCCGGTACGGTCCATGTGTCGAATGCGATGCCGGTTTTGCTGTCCTTGTACAGGGTTGGTGCGCTCGCTTGACCGAGACATTTCTGGACATCTACGCCGTGTTAGTAAGACCACTGTCAGCGTATACATAGAAAGCGTGGCGCACTTAAGCTGACTGCTAGAAGCAGTGATGCAAAAAGACCGAAACGACCCATAATGCTATCAGCGTATTACGCTAAGTATTCGCCTGATGGGAACCGGAGAACTCAACATTGTGAAAAACGAATCTAAAGGACTCTTATATATATACTAATAGATTATGAGGCTGATGAGTACAAGTGGGCTGACGGGAACTCATTCCGAACGAGATCTGACTATACACACTAGTAGATATATACATGGTCGAATATGACCCAGATAATAGGAGGAAAATTATCGATCCCATTTCACGAACATGACCAACGGACATTCATAGGGAATATTGGCCTAGGGAACCGATCAACCGCGAAGCGCAAAAGTAAAGTGGGGCGCGCGTAGGAGAACCTGGAAGCTGGGCGCGGCTCCGATTCCCAGGACCAGACATCACAGTTCTTTATGAGAGGTTCTGGACCTTTGATGCAATCCCGCGGCGTAACAGCGGGCGCTCTACCCCGTTCTACCCTGCTCTTACTTACTTTACCTCACCCTACTTCTCTGCATGCTGACAAAAGGACAAGGGAGCATCTCCGTTTGGACAAAGCCTAGTCACAAGTGACAAGAACTATTCCCCTCGCGGCCTCAGGAATAACCAGCAGTATTCGAGGTAGTATGGCTGGAGGAACATGGTCGTGAATGTTAGACCGAGGACGTCTTGGCCTCGAGCGACTTGCCTCTTCTGTCAACGGAGTGTTGTAAAACGGAGGGACGCTTTTCTGCTTTACGGGCCGAAATTAGCGACTATAGTTGTGTAGCTGGAAAGCTGGAAAGCTGGAAAACTGGAAAACTGGCGAGCATGTTTCCCTTTTCTATCCCCCAGCTGTTCCCCGCCAAAAAAAAACCCTCTGGAATCCACATCGTGAAAAACGCCATTCGGAGTTGGGGAATTAGTAATGTTACCTTGATTTTGTTTATGGGCAGGTCTAGACTTACAACTATATACATATGTACATTAGGTAGTTATATAGTTACACAAAGAATTCATACCTTAGCCACAACTTATACATAAGCCACCCGCTAGCTTTCTTTTAAGCCACATTGAGATAGGTACCTTCGGTGGGTACCTCCAAGGTTCAGTTCAAATCGCCGCATCTTCCAAAACCCTCTAACTTCATCTTTTATGAGTTAGTTACCTGTACTTAACTCGATGTTGAACCCGTAATATCATTCCTTTCTATATTCTTGTCAAATGGTTTTCTCTAGAATTATGAACCGGAAGTATTCAACTTTAATAGATATAAGGCCTCATTACCTCTCAACATGACTACGCCGCATTATCCCCTCAACGGTATTGACTTGGACTTTACCAAATATGAGCATAAGTCTATATCTAGTCGCGACGTCATAGTCAATCGGATTATGCAGGACTATATGTTGCCAGAGAGAGTGAAAGCAGCAGTCTACAACAAGACGAATCGAGATGGCAAATTCCATACAGTCAAACGTCGCGATCGAGAACTCGGCCTTGACATGTATCTTCTGCATAGGATGCTTAAAACTGGTAGCAACCAGTCCTCCATAGGAGCAGAACTACACCCCCTCTACTTACTCTTTAATGGCGTATCCTTTGACGCTCTAAATTACTACCCGTTACCCGAACCTGGGGCTACTATTGGCATGGTTATATTGGGGCTTATAGAACAGTATTATCTCGAGTCCGAACCTTCTATGCGTGTTTGGCTTGGCCATCTCTATCGTTCTCATCCAGACTTAGCGGCCAAATATAAGTCCGGTTGGACGAAAGATATGAGGGGACACGTCAAAAGTTACGGGCCATTTTCAAAAACACATTACCGTTATTCTTTGTTTTCCGGCGGCCACCACATAAGAATCAACCCCTCTTCTAATGTGGAATTTTCTATCGATCCTCAGTTTTTAGCACGCGGCGGCTCGGTATTTTAAACCGTCGGCTTTCCCTTAACCCATCACGAGCATGCAGTTACTCTAAAAGTCCGACCAAATCTTTCATGCCGTCAATACATTATGTGTGTGTCGAGGAAAGCCTGAACGGTCTAGCAGTCTACCCCCACCTGATTCGTGGAAGAGGGTAGCTTTAAGTACCAACCTCGAAGATGGATGGATCATCTACTTCCCTCGACGCCCTCTATCTGAACTTGATAAACTATCACGCCGTAGAAGCTTAAGCCGAACTCACATCCGAGCAATGTTCACTAATAAACCCAAAGTATTTGAGAAGAAGTCTACGCAGAAAAGGGCCCGGGGGCAGATTAGGAATCCGTGTGCTAACTGTTACCAGCATAGTAGTCATCGCTCTTCGGCCTGCCCTTAGCATGTGGTTATTGCAACTCGTCGTTCCACAAGGCATATGCTTGCCCAATCAAGGCGAGCAACCGGTGTAAATGCATGCCCTTCCCCCAATACCACACAGCTTTCGAGTGTCAAGTTAATTGCAGCCGAAAGTGCGGATGTCCAAGTCTCCCAGGCTCAAGCCATCACAAGAACGCCATGCTTTGCTCCTATCGTTGCTGTATGTGCGGTGCCAAGGGCCACTCGGGAAGAAAATGCTCCTTGAAGAAATGTCCGTGCGGAGGGGATCATCTCACTCAAGACTGCCGATGGAAAGTTGAGTGTCCCGCCAAAGATTGCAATTTCTACCTATGTCAACTTCATTGCAGAGAATGTGGAAAAAAGAAGAATAAAACTTCTAAAGAACACTTTGTTGGCAGAACCTGTCAAGACTGCTTGAGGAATGGTAAGCCAGTCTTGGAAAAGGTCGCATCAAAGTAATAAATTTGGCTCGACAAACTTTGCGACTACACCTCAAACCCTCAGATGGTCCGGAATGATTATCCGCTGGCGGTAGTTGATATCGTAAGGGTAAGCGAAGTGACTATGCTTGTACTCAACCTACTAGTACATACTTAAGCACAAGCGAATATAAGTCTTCTAGAGGCATATCAGTATTAGAATAATTAGAATAATCTGCACAGTAAAATAATAAAAATGCCAGGTAATATATGCTCGCATTGGTGCAAGAGTATTATAACCAAGACTAGAATAAATCCTATAGCATTGCGTTGTTCAAGAAGTCTATACTTTTAAGTATATAAACATAACTTAAGCGTATACTCCATTATGTATTGCTCATGTTACGAATATAGGTAAAAATCGGCTTCGAGGACCGGGAAAGTTAAGTGTCGTGGAGCGGCCCGGCCCGCAGCTAATATGTCCGACCCGGCCAAGTGGGACAAACGATCTGACTGAATTGCATTCATGACGCCTCTTCGACGTCATAGAGGGACAAGGTTACCAAAATCTCGAAGAAGATTGAAATAACTACAATTAAAGATTTTATACATACCGAGGTCTCCTTGAAAATATTTTGGAATTGGTTAGGTTAAGTCTTTACACTAAGAGACTAACGGTGTGATGATCAGTTGAGGCGTCTTAAGTTAAAGACTAGAATCATCTTACTACTTCTTTTTATCTCCTAGCACCTATCATATCTTTACATGTTCGTAGTTATTTCATCCAACTACAAATCTTTGAGACTCGTACCTTCGCAGCATCTACATACTAAGCCAACAACACCAAGCAAAATAAGACCATGGCTCCACTCCCAGGGGGTTGTTACTGCGGTCTAATAAAATACACCATCACGCTCGAGGACCCGGAGTTACAAGCACGCACGAGCATCTGCCACTGCGGTAACTGCAAGAAGTTCACGGGCGGCGAGCACGGTATCACAACTAAGATCCCTAAGTCGGCATTTAAGATCACCCAAGGGGGGATCATGTAAAAATACACGAAGCGGATAACGGGAGCGGCGTGTTGCTACATCGCGAGTTCTGCGATACGTGTGGCGGGCCGCTTTTAGAATACGGTGTATGCATTTCTCTTCGATTGTGTTTAATGAGCTCGGAAGGCTACTAACTAGAGCTTCTCGCCCTTATCATTTTGACTTGACTACCTACCTACATATTGTTAAATAATCTTTTTGCGGCTGTTCCTTGGACGTTATATGATGAGGACTCTTCGCAGGGAAACGCGGGCGATAATATATACGTCTTCTACGGTACGATGGAGGACCACGCCCGCGGCCAGGTCGAGCCCAAGGGCGAGTTCTTCTGCAAGCTGCGGGATCCGTGGATGCCGAGCGTCGAAGGTTAGTTAGGACATGTCCTGGGTCTTTTTCGTTGCTATGACTATGGTGACATGGATTACTTACCTGATGTCTTAGGGGTATTCCAAAAGCAGGAGATCAAGCAGTAATAACAGAATACCGCTGGTCCCAGTAGGACTGGGCAGTAATGTACTATTTGGGTGGGTAGGCTCTATTGTAGTATGATGGACTAAGTTCATGTGAAAAACGTGGATATGAGAGAAAAGGGGTTAGGGGGTTAGGGACGTACAAGTCAAAACTATAAATGTGGAAAGATAATAGTATGTAATAGGTAGCTATTTAGGTATGTATACTAACAAAATCATCTGGTATATCAAGTTCTTTAATGATGGTTCATTCCGCCACAGACGCTGTAACGCATCAATCGAGCGATACAGGCAGTTCGTTGGGGGATCGGTAAACTACAAGACCCCCTTCTCCTACTTCTGGCTCTAGATAGCCTGTATGTCGGTACATTTCTACCGAATCGGCACGTCTTCTGCCATGACGCCTCGGCTGATGGTTCCTAGAGTAGTGGTTCTTAGAGTGATGACCCCTAGAGCGATGGCCCCTAGAGCGATGATGCCCGGGGTGATGGTGATGCATTGAGTGGCGATGCCCTGAGTGATGATGTCCTGAACTATGATGTCCCGAGCGGTGGTGATCCGAGCGACTACCAGAGTGGTAGTATCCCGGTTGTCTGCGACTAGGTTGGCCAAAGCAGTTACCCATCTTACCTTCGTTGTTGGGATAGTATTTGATAGCAGATATAAGGTATGACGCTTGATCTCGGCTGAGATGACCACAACTGTATTTCAGTCCTTTAATTAACATAGGAATAAATGCAGTAAGATGAAATCTCTTCGAGGAAAACGGTCGTAGGGGTTAGGATTATAT